CATCCCCAAAGGCTCGAAGCGCGGTACAAAGTCAACAAAATACAAATCTATAATTTACCACATTTAAAACAAACGCAACACTACAAAAACTAATTACTAGCATACAATGGCAAAGTCTTTCTAGCCATTTCAACCCCAAGCAACACAGCCATTATGCATTAACTGGAAAATAAGGTTGACAATCATCCCAGAAGGTGTTTGCGAAATAGGTGTGTCTTTAAATTGGTTTTAAAGGACTCCAGTGTCTGGTTGTTTCTGAGATCGACAGGAAGGGCGTTCCAAATTGTTGGACCAGCAAATGCGAAAGTGCGCTTTCCGTAAGTCTCAAGGCAAACACGTGGTGTCGAGAGTTTGCCACTATGACATTACACCGTGCGTTTATTTCATTGGACATTGAATTCAAATGTGCTGTGTTCTAAACACTACTGACCTTGTTTCACCTTGTACTGCTGCTGCTTCCTTTTGTTGGACTGTCAGCATTTGTATTCAGTTTGAAAGACTTACTCTGCAGAACCTACTGAATTTCACAACAACAAAAATTGCCTCCATGACATAAACTGTGAAAAGTATAAGATAATAAGTAGCGAGCCAAGTATAAGCTTACAAGTTTCCCATCAACCAACCCCACGACCAACAATTGTTTGCTGCGAATCTGGGCGATTTCCACCAAAAAAGATTTTGCGAAGCAAGTTAAGGAGAATGTCCAGCAACATAGAAGCGCGTCCCTCCATACAGCTCTCACATCTCAATTATTAAAGAAATTATTGGATTATTTAAACCTTTATTTTTTTTTCACAAAGGAGTTTGAAATAGATCACAAATTTACCAAAATTACACACTGCAGCATCTTAATCTTCAGTGACGTCAGGTTATTGTAAAATGAAAGGAAATAATTCACAAGGTTATTGAGTGGTGTAAGATGGGGACTTTGATTGTGTAACATATCTTAGTTATATGTCTGTCTCGTAACTTTAGGACATCTCCTTTTCCACAGCCCAGCACTATAAGACACACACATCAAATACCGTCCGAATCTGTAACACATCTCTTCCATTGGCTTGCACTACAAGACACACACATCAAATACCGTCCGAAACTGTAACACATCTCTTCTATTGGCTTGCACTATAAGACACACACATCAAATACCGTCCGAATCTGTAACACATCTCTTCCATTGGCCTGCACTATAAGACACACACATCAAATACCGTCCGAAAGAAACTGTAACACATCTCTTCTATTGGCTTGCACTATAAGACACACACATCAAATACCGTCCGAATCTGTAACACATCTCTTCCATTGGCCTGCACTATAAGACACACACATCAAATACCGTCCGAATCTGTAACACATCTCTTCTATTGGCTTGCACTATAAGAAACACACATCAAATACCGTCCGAAACTGTAACACATCTCTTCTATTGGCTTGCACTATAAGACACACACATCAAATACCGTCCGAAACTGTAACATATCTCTTCTATTGGCTTGCACTATAAGACACACACATCAAATACCGTCCGAAACTGTAAAACATCTCTTCTATTGGCTTGCACTATAAGACACACACATCAAATACCGTCCGAATCTGTAACACATCTCTTCCATTGGCTTGCACTATAAGACACACACATCAAATACCGCCCGAATCTGTAACACATCTCTTCTAATGGCTTGCACTATAAGACACACACATCAAATACCGTCCGAATCTGTAACACATCTCTTCTATTGGCTTGCACTATAAGACACACACATCAAATACCGTCCGAAACTGTAACACATTTCTTCCATTGGCTTGCACTATAAGACACACACATCAAATACCGTCCGAAACTGTAACACATTTCTTCCATTGGCTTGCACTATAAGACACACACATCAAATACCATCCGAAACTGTAACACATTTCATCCATTGGCTTGCACTATAAGACACACACATCAAATAACGCCTGAAACTGTAACACATCTCTTCTGTTGGCCTGCACTACAAAACACACACATCAAATACCATCCGAAACTGTAAAACATCTCTTCCATTGGCCTGCACTACAAGACACACACATCAAATACCGTCCGAAACTGTAAAACATCTCTTCTATTCGCCTGCACTACAAGACACACACATCAAATACCGTCCGAAACTGTAAAACATTTCTTCTATTGGCTTGCACTACAGGACACACACATCAAATACCGTCCGAAACTGTAACACATCTCTTCTATTGGCTTGCACTATAAGACACACATATCAAATACCGTCCAAAACTGTAAAACATTTCTTCTATTGGCTTGCACTACAAGACACACACATCAAATACCGTCCGAAACTGTAAAACATCTCTTCTATTGGCCTGCACTACAAGACACACACATCAAATACCGCCCGAAACTGTAACACATCTCTTCTATTGGCCTGCAATACAAGACACACACATCAAATACCGTCCGAAACTGTAAAACATCTCTTCCATTGGTCTGCAATACAAGACACACACATCAAATACCGTCCGAAACTGTAAAACATCTCTTCCATTGGCCTGCAATACAAGACACACACATCAAATACCGTCCGAAACTGTAACACATCTCTTCTATTGGCCTGCACTACGAGACACACACATCAAATACCGTCCGAATCTGTAACACATCTCTTCCATTGGCTTGCACTATAAGACACACACATCAAATACCGTCCGAAACTGTAAAACATCTCTTCCATTGGCCTGCAATACAAGACACACACATCAAATACCGTCCGAAACTGTAAAACATTTCTTCCATTGGCCTGCACTACAAAACACACACATCAAATACCGTCCGAAACTGTAAAACATCTCTTCCATTGGCTTGCACTACAAGACACACACATCAAATACCGTCCGAAACTGTAATACATCTCTTCCATTGGCTTGCACTATAAGACACACACATCAAATACCGTCCGAAACTGTAACAAATCTCTTCTATTGGCCTGCAATACAAGACACACACATCAAATACCGTCCGAAACTGTAATACATCTCTTCCATTGGCTTGCACTACAAGACACACACATCAAATACCGTCCGAAACTGTAATACATCTCTTCCATTGGCTTGCACTATAAGACACACACATCAAATACCGTCCGAAACTGTAACACATCTCTTCCATTGGCCGGCAATACAAGACACACACATCAAATAACGCCCGAAACTGTAACAAATCTCTTCCAATGGCCTGCACTACAAGATGCACACATCAAATACCGTCCATTTCTGTACAACATTTCTTCCGTTGACCTGCACTACAAGACACACACATCAAATACCGCACAAAACTGAAGACCCTCACGTTCAAAAGCCCGTATAAAGAAAACTTTATTTTCTTCCTCACACCAGAAGCTCCAATTAAACATTGAATTCAACGAAATTGAAAATCATGATTGGCCCTGAAAACATGCAGACATTTCCTTGAAGATCTCACCTCAACAAAGGATTTCTTAATATTTTTTTTTACTTGAATCTTAAAAACCCCCATCTTTCTTCAACACATCACACTGATCTACCACCATTTGAATCGTAAAAACCCCATCTTTCTTCAACACATCACACTGATCTACCACCAAATCATCAAATTATACATTTGGCGGATTGAAGGTGTGGGAGAAACATATTATTTCCGATAATGTGTTGTCCGGTTTCATGTCCACGTCTGTAGCTTTCCATTGACATCTCCTGTAATTCAATTCACCCTACAGGGCTGTTTTTTTCTGGCCGCATACGAACAACAAAAGACAGAAACCACGGATCAATAGCTGACGTTTCGGCGAGCGGAGTGTGTTGTAAGGGGGTCGGGGGGGGGGGTCTTTTCAATAAGTACTGGCTCGCTTTCCCTGGTTGATTGATTTGAACTACGCCAGTGCAGAGATATATGGTTGGTGAGTCTGTACAGATTAGTGGTACGTCCGTCAGATTTGTGGTACGTCCGTCAGATTAGTGGTACGTCCGTCAGATTTGTGGTACGTCCGTCAGATTAGTGGTACGTCCGTCAGATTTGTGGTACGTCCGTCAGAATTGTGGTACGTCCGTCAGATTTGTTGTACGACCGTCAGATTTGTTCTACGTCCGTCAGATTAGTGGTACGTCCGTCAGATTTGTGGTTCGTCCGTCAGATTAGTGGTATGTCTGTCAGATTTGTGGTACGACCGTCAGATTTGTGGTACATCCTTTAGATTAGTGGTACGTCCGTCAGATTAGTGGTATGTCTTGTCAGATCAGTGTAAACCTTAGATACCATCATTTGCCTCTAATACCCAAACGTAACCAAGCCAATTATAGGTGGCATGTCCAAATTTTATAACACAGAGTAGCTTCCTCTTGGATGACGCCCACTTTAAAAAAAAAAAATCCGATTGCTTTCCTAAATAATGTGTGTTGTTTCTAAACTCGAGTCCAGTACGCTGAGAAGGGTTCATTTTAACAGACCCCAATAATGTGTGTATATAAATATATGTATTTCTAATAGTGTACTTTTAAGTCTGAATAATCTATTTCCTTCCGATTCATGATATCGTCATTCCAACCCAATGGATATCGTCATTCCACCCAATGGATATCGTCATTCCACCCAATGGATATCGTCATTCCATCCAATGGATATCGTCATCCCAACCCAATGTTAACATAGCCTTGGTGGCGGCGGAAGTCAAAACACACGAAAGTGGAAACGAACTACTTGCTCTTTTCTCACCGAAAATCAAATGTTTTCGTGTTTTTTTTTTTAAAACTAACTGGTTGTACCCCATACTCGAGACCGACCGAACGTGATTTTCCGATTTCGGCCGAAACCGAAACCAGACCGAAAGTTAAAAAATGAATTTCGGCCGAAACCGAAATTCGGTCAGTCTCTGCCCCATACATATGCTTCGCGAAATTAAAATAAATAGTGCGTATTTAAAAAATATTTTTTTTTCTTAATAAAGAAATAATTTAGAAAAGAAAAACAGCTCTGTTCCTAGCATTATATCAATGTATTAAATAGGAGAAGGATAAAGGCCCATGGGGGAAAGAGCGTTGATCCATTATTAGGAAGACCTTGACCTTGAGCAGCAACACTCCGACGATCCCTTGCAGAAGACGCTAACCCAGATTGGCGGATTACGTCATCGATGTATGCGTACCATTTCTTCTCCCATAATTCCATCGCCTTCTCCTTTTTGGCGGGATCGAGACTGCTGAACCTAAAAGAAAATATATAGCAAACAGTAGTTGAAGTGTAGATGCTCTGTAAGATATATGACTGTGCAGCAATAAATCACAACTTAATTACACAACTACCTCGCGGTATATCGTGAATCACTTTAATAAAGCTATCTGATCCAATCAGCAATTGCCTATCATTGTCATAACTAATGGTGTTTCTTATTTTTTAAATAATGGAAAAGCTGTCAGGAGTTCTGTAGGTTGCTAGCACTACAGAAGAACATCTGTCACAGGTTATTTAACATGCAGCCATCCTTTTCTAGAAGTTCTTTGTGGCGATATATTCAAATCCTGGGTAGTTTCGACATCATGTTCCAATGTATTGATTTTAAGAGATTGAAAGACATTTGGCAAAAAATAGACCTGTAAAATTATGAACAATTTGAAGATATTATGCTAAATGGAAATCTGTTGGTGCTCACAAAAATGAAGCAATTGAGTTTGTATTAGAAGGGCTGCAGAAATAGTATGATACTCCACCACGAGATTATTGTTTTGAACTTTTGGAGCTTAATCTTATTTTATTAGGAAAATAACCCTCATGTGGTATAAGATTTCGTGCGCCCGGTGCCTAGCACGATGCCCGTTGGATGTCAAAGCTGCTCTATGTGCCTACCACCATGATCGTTTGATGTCAAAGCTGCTCTATGTGCCTACCACCATGATCGTTTGATGTCAAAGCTGCTCTATGTGCCTACCACCATGATCGTTCGATGTCAAAGCTGCTCTATGTGCCTACCACCATGATCGTTCGATGTCAAAGCTGCTCTATGTGCCTACCACCATGATCGTTTGATGTCAAAGCTGCTCTATGTGCCTACCACCATGATCGTTCGATGTCAAAGCTGCTCTATGTGCCTACCACCATGGCTGTTGGATGTCATATCTGCTCTATGTGCCTACCATTGACATGTTTTGAAACCAGCTTCAACAGACAAACAAGGAGAAGCATTCTTGTCTTGAATTGAGGCTTTATTTTATTTGTTGTAGTATTAGTAGTATTGAGAGGAATATATGTCCAGTTACTTCTGATGCTGCTTTAATTTGATATCATCGCTGCAATATATATATATATATATATTGGGTGTTTGCAAATAATTGTTTGTTGTTATTTATATGGGTAGGTGTGGGAAGATTTCGAGAACTTGGCGATTCCCGCTAGTCTTAATCTGTCCCACTGGCGATAAATGATCATGGGGTGAGAAAATTTAACAACGTAGACTTGACCCAGAAATTAAAATGTGACTTGACCATGCAATGCCCGAGTCAGTTTTCGCTAAAATAAACCATCGACAGTTGAGCTCACTTGATGGAATTGATGGCCAGTTGTTTCAATAGGGTCAGGTCAGCGTCTTCGCTGGACATGGCCGTGAACGCCACGAAGAAGTCATGGGACAGCGGTGCCAAACCCATGGTGGTACGGTCATCGCAGCTAATGACCAGAGGCAGGTTCTGGGCCATCAGTGACACCATGGGATGGTTACGGAAATCGTCGAGCAGGCGTAAAATCTATCAGGGAGAAAGAGAGATAATGCTCCCATGACGGTGTTGTCATGGCGAATCTAACACATGGTTTTTAAAAAGTTATTTTAATTCTTCCGTACATCAAGAATTTAGTTACATTTTTTATTTTCATTATTTTATTTCCCTCACCAACCTCACCCACCCCCCACACACAAAAATGAATAATAAAAAAAAAAAAACAACTTCCCCCACTTTTTCAAACCTTTCCATAAAATACTAGTCAGTGGCGTTGCTCAAGTTTTCTATGCCCCTGCGTTGGTCCGTGAATTTTCCTCTCCTAACTGAAGGAAAATAGCAAAAAATGTAGAAATCACATTTTTTTTAAAATTGGTGGGACGCCATAGACGGACCTCTCCACCTGCCTACGCCTTTGCAAATAATTGTTTGTTGTTTTTTTTTTTGCTTTTTTGTCTTTTTTAAACTGACCTGATTTGATATGGGTTGCACCTCCACAGTGATCCCCTTCTGTAGAATCAATTGAAGAAACTTGGGGTGTTTGCTCAAAGCATAGGCGTGTCCAACACGGGTGGCATTAAGCAAAATTGAGGTGGGACGCCATAGATGGACCTCTCCACCTGCCTACGCCTTTGCAAATAATTGTTTGTTTTTTTTTTTTTTTTTTGCTTTTTTGTTTTTTTTAAACTGACCTGATTTGTTATGGGTTGCACCTCCACAGGGATCCCCTTCTGTAGAATCAATTGAAGAAACTTGGGGTGTTTGCTCAAAGCATAGGCGTGTCCAACACGGGTGGCATTAAGCAAAATTGCGTCTGCCAGGTTAAACCCTGTCTCAGTGCCCTGCCAGGCTGTAAACAAACGAGGAATTATTTTTATTTATTATTTTTTTTGTCAAGAAGAATATAAACGTGACAATGTATTGCTACCGTCAGGCATTTGAATTCTTGTGTAACATTAAAACTGTTGGAGTCACCAAAACAACCAAAGGTTGAAGAGTATTTTTTTTCTGTAGTGAATTTCATATTCAATTTATCAAGGGAGTAATTCAGTAAAAACTCCGTTTTAAAGACCTTCTCTTAAACGACTTCCTCCAATATACGACCGGAAAAAAAAAAACACCAATGCTTTGTACTATATAAACGACCTCTCTTAAACGACTCCCTCTAAAACGCGACTTGCGACCTTCAAAGAATTCAATTTTACGACCTAGCACCTACGAAAAAGTCCAAAACAGTGCGATATTTGTACGCTTGAAGAAAACGGTTTCGCTGACAACTTTTAACAGCAGACGATGCACTAAAGCAGCCAGGAAGTAGTGACCACCTGTGTCACTGTTGCTTAGCGACAGTCAGGCTTCATCTTCCCAAGTAGATAACCAGCTCATTGACACTGAGAATGAGAAAGATGAAGAGCCCCCTTATCAAATTCTTCACTGCCTTGAAATACTGCAAGGAGCTGACCACATTTGCCCTGAGCCGGGGCCATTCAGACCTTGCCGACATTATGTCTGATGTTCAAAGTGACATATTAAAAGAACATGTGTTTGTTGGGGTGGGGGGGGCGGTGTTACCATGCAAACAAACAGCAATAATAGCTTTCTTTAAACCAACAAAAAATAACTATTCAATAATTGCGTACAAATAATTACAACACTATTACCGCGCTAATCTTATCCATAAATAGTTCTAACTCTAAGCATGCACTCAGCACTTTTAAACGCTTTTAAACAACTATCTTACCAGCATTGGTTTTTTTTTTTATTTTGGAAATAATGAGGAACAAGAAGATAGTGACTGTATTGGTCGTGACGTGAGACAGAGTTGAATCTATTTTTCTCAAGGAAAGATGGTAGATAGTGCCTATACTTAATGATACCTGTACTTTTTTGAATTTATTCTACATGTTTACTTAATTTTCTAAATGTAATCTTTCGAAAATGTCCTACCTCTTTTTTAAGACCCCTCCAATTTAAGACCTCGTTTTAATGGCAATTTAAAGGTCGTTGAAAAGATGTTCTTTCTGTATCTTTCATGCAGTTAATGCATTTTCTCCTAGAATCTCAAAGTTCAAACTGTTAAGGTCCATTAAGGGAGATAACTTTCATTTTACTATGAACCAAATAAACCCTTTTTCATTCCCCTGAAAATAACAGTCTAGCGCAATGTTTCCTTAACAATTTCACCTATGCCTCTGGCTTAAGAATTTTTTTAAAATGTGTAAAATAAGAAATTAAAACTGTAATGTCCTCTTCGTCAGTTAGAGAAAAAGATTTAATTCTAAAAAGTGTTTTAAATAAATTTGAAGTCGAATGGTGTCTGCTGCAAAGCGTTTGTGTTTGAGGTGCTACTTTTGGTTAATTTAATCTTACGTTTTTTGCATCTAGAGGGTAAAAATTAAATAAATTACAGTTACTTACCAAAACCCACCTTAAACCAATTACGAGATCAGAAAAAGCAGCAGCAAGATTCTGTCCCTGGTCATGTGTCACTGTCTCATCCCAGAGCTAAGCCCCTGATTCTTCTAGTTCAATAACCTTTTAATGTAGCCTTCTCTTTGCATACCCTATAAAAACTTCCTGATTTCGCAAAAGTTACATAAATCTCATAACTAAATGTTTCTCTGACAGCTATCCCACATTCACCTGAAGCGATAGTCTGACATTGCCAGTACTAACATCCTCACAAAATTGTTTTTAAAAAAAATGCTCAGGTCGTGTTTAGGCTATGAGTTGGTAGAAGATCGTGAAATGGGGATTCGGTCGTTTACCTGAAAGATGGAACTTAAAACCCCACCACGCATTGAAATTTTAATGTAAATACATCCCTAGCACTAGGAGCAGAGCTGTCACGTGGGCCCTTCAACCCCTGTGGGTGAACCGACAAAAAAGTGGGGGGGGGGGGGGGGGGGCTTGTAATATTTAATGGGGGGTAAGGGGGGGGGAGAGACTTCAATCGGGTTGGACAGGAGGAAATGAGCGACAAAAAGTATGGGAACACCTGAATAAAAAAGGACGCAACAAAACAACGAACGTATCGGCAAGAGGCCTTCTTCAGCGAACATGCAACAGTAAAAACAATAGAAAATGAAAATAAACAATTAGCTGCAATGTAGTATCCGAGAGGACAGAAATAGGAATGTTTTTTTGTTTTTTTTTGTTGTCGTTGTTGTTTTGTTTGTTTGTTGTTGTTGTTTTGTTTTGTTGTTTTTTTTTGGGGGGGGGGCGGGGTGGGGTGCAAAATTTGTGATGTCGAGAAAATAATTAAACCATCAACTTTTAATGCAGGGGGTGGGCACAAAGCCGAAAAGTTTCGTGGGACGGGGACCTCCAAAGGTCACGCGAGGGCTCTGCTAAGAGTCCAAACGTCCCTAACCCACCCCCCCCCCATATTCCGTAAATTGACCCAATGTCGGACATGCACCCCGCGCTGGGAAACACCCTCTTAGCTAAACTCAACTCACGGGTTTCACCGGCGTGGAAAAAGTACGGCAGGTGATAGGGCGGGTCCTGTTGACTAGGGTACAGCAGGGCTTCACTGTAGTAGGACAACGGTTGGTAGAGAGCCTCGTTTCCAGCCAGGTCGTAACCCGACACCACATCCGGGAATTCCTTATGAAGTGCCATGGTCGTTTTCACTTCCTCCAAGATTTGAGACACATTTTGGTTTCTGAGAAAAATGTGTGTAGCAATGAAAGGATTAAAGTTATTGCAGACTAGGACTACGAAGTTTGCCGTCTTCTTCTGGTTATTGTTGTTATTTTTGGGGCAGTTTTTTTTTTTTTTTTTTTCTGGGGGGGGGGGGGGGGGGGGGGGTGTTTTTTTTTTTTTTTTTTTTATTTTTTTTTTTTTTTTTTTATTTTTTTTTTTTTTTTTTTGTGGTGTTTTTTTTTTTTTTTTTTTTTTTTTTTTTTTTTTTTGGGGGGGGGGGGGGTTGGATGCAATTTTTTTTTAAATTTATATAATTATTTGCATTTATTCTAAATTTGTTCATGCCATATAAATATTAAATCCGTTTGTTGTATTTTAGACACACGCAACTTGCAAATGACGAGGAATTCGGGTGTTTTCAAGAACATTTTAATTTTTGCAATGTTAATTTACTGGTTAAAATCCGAATTCTAGAAGGTTTAGTTTACAATTTGTAAAAAATGCAAGCAGTGACGTAGGAAAAAAGGGGGGGGGGTCCACCCAGGCGGCACTTTTTATGAAATGGCGGCGTTTTCGGCCATCTGCATAGTTTATTTGTGAAAGCCGACGGGCGATTGGGGGGGGGGGATTCATAACCATTCGGCCATCTGCATAGTTTATTTGTGAAAGCCGACGGGCGATTGGGGGGGGGGGAATCATAACCCACCCCGGGGGGGGGAATCATAACCCACCCCGAGCGCCACTTACACTTCTCAGGCCGCCCTAACCCCATCAAAGCCTTCATTCACTTAAGACAAACATCAAATCAAAGAGCATCACCCTTAAGCTTTCTAAACTCTAACATTTCCAGCATTCCAACACTGACCTTATGCCAGTCGGAATGATTTTGACTCCGGTAAAATCTGGATATTTATTCACGAAATCATCGCTGATGCTCTTGATAAGTTGCACGCCGTACCTCGCATCGTGCACCGTGCCATCGGTGTCGTACAACTGGAAAATTAGTTGAACCGTTTTATGGTAACAATTTCTTTGCACGGATATGTTGTTTTATTTTGTCTTATATAAAACACAGCTCCATTTTTTTTTTAAAATCTATTTTAAGCTTTCCATTAACGATGCAAGTGATTTTAAGAAATACCAAGCCCATGTTAAAAATAAAAGGTCTGGGCCGATATCCATTTTTTTTTCCTTTTACTGCGTTCCTATAAAAACAAGTCAGCAACTTCCGGAAGCCACCAACTTGACTAAACTGTCACGTCACCTGTCAACACTCAACCCTGTGAAGCCTCCTCTTATCTCCAAGTACTGCACGGTCGCTTCTGTCATGTCAGCTGTCAACACTCACCCCTGTGAAGCCTCCTCTTATCTCCAAGTACTGCACGTTCGCTTCTCTGAACTCTTCCAATGTCCTCCACACCATGTCGCGGTAGATGGGGACATAATTCAGTAGAGGACCGAGCTAGGAAATGGTTATTTTTGGACATTTGTAAAAATATTAAAACCACACAATTCTAAATTTTAGTCATCAGACTTACCAAAAAAAATCGTTTATGTAACCAGGTCAATCTCATATTGTTTATTTAACCAGGTCAATCTAAGATTACTTATGTTACTTAAGCAGAGTTACCTTGCAGGTTAACCTGAAAATTGTTCATGGCAAGAGTAAGCTTCAATGTTTTCCAGCTACCAAGTTGTCATCTTGGTAGTAAACACAACGTTAACACAGATTGCATTTCGGCGTTGATGTCCCTAATGCCCCTTACGCTCAGGATAAAAATTTTGAGCATGACAGCAAATTGTGCCATTGCCTGTTAACTTTCAGCGCCAAAGGTCAGGAGAAACAAAACATTTGTTTTTAATGAATAGAAGAAAAAATTCAGAAGCTTCGGGCTTATGGGGAGCTTAGTGGGAAGTAATGGGCATGTCCCAACAACAACGGCAAGGATTTGGCAAATGACATTTAGAAAATGGGTCATTTTTTAGAGCACCTATGCCCCGAGGTCAACTCTGGGAGCACATGAACTAAGGTAAGCCTGAGGTCTACTCTGATAGCACCTAAGCTAAGGTAATCCCGAGGTCAACTGTCAGAGCACCTAAGCTAAGGTAAGCCTGAGGTCTACTCTGATAGCACCTGAGCTAAGGTAATCCTGAGGTCAACTCTGATATCACCTAAACTAAGGCAATGAGAGCATTTGACCTAAGGTAATCCCGTGGTCAACTCTGAGAGCATTTGACCTAAGGTAATCCCGTGGTCAATTCTGAGAGCACCTAAGCTACGGTAAGCCCGGTGTTTTTATTCGCGCTACAACAAGTTGTAATGGAGGAAACTATTGATGATCTCCCTTACCCGATCAAAGACACTTTTGAATTTCAGCCAAGCCGCTTGATTATCCGGAAATGCGTCGTACGGGTCAGTGTCCACTAAACTTAGGTTGTTGTTCAGGCTTTGAAGTAAGGGGGGCGGGGGGGGGGGGGGGGAATAAAAGGCTTATTTGGTTTGGTTCATGGAAAAAATCAATATAATTTTTAACGATTCTGACAAAAGTCGGTGAAAGTTAGAAAGAACATGTTGATTTTGAATTTCAGCCAAGCCGCTTGATTATCCGGAAATGCGTCGTACGGGTCAGTGTCCACTAAACTTAGGTTGTTGTTCAGGCTTTGAAGTAAGGGGGGTGGGGGGGGGAGGGGGGAAATAAAATGCTTATTTGGTTTGGTTCATGGTAAAAATCAATATAATTCTTAACGATTCGGACAAAAGTCGGTGAAAGTTCGAAAGAAAATGTTGAATTAAAAATTAAAAGATTTGGGAGCTTCCATTCGATTATCTTCGTGATAAGAACGAAACGAATCGTGCGTAACGTTGAGTTATTTGTGACGGTTGTCCATCTGCTTCATTTGGGGCGGTTGTGTTGGTCTTGTTTTGATCTGTGATGCTTTTTGATTTAACTAAGGTACTGAAAGCCCCAAAAAATAATATATATATTTTTTGTTTAACAATGATTAAGTACGTCTATATTATATTTGATCAACCATGGACTGAAACCCGGAATCCAGTACATCCCTGCTCGAAGTGAGAGATATAAGATACGCTTGCATACCTTTTCTTGGCATAATTATAGTAATATTACATCTATTTTAAAAACGAATACAAAAGTGAATACTTTTTAAGGGCAATGCATAAATTTATGGATTGCCTAATCAATGTCAGTGGCGTAGGGAAAGGGGGGGGGGGTTTGCAGTCAGCGTTCAATCATGGGAAGCATTTTTTTTCATTGATATTAAGTGGTGGTATTTCCGGTTACCTTTGAATGTTGGGTTTGTTTGTTGTTGTTGTTGTTGTTGTTGTTGTTGTTGTTGTTGTTGTTGTTGTTGTTGTTTTTTTGTTGTTTTTTTTGTTGTTGTTGTTGGTTTTGTTTTTTTGGAAGGGGTGACAACAACCGTGGCCCACCCCGAGCGTCAATAACCTTAACTACGCCACTGATGAAAGTGTTATATTGGACTCACGAACTAACTTCAAATCAAAAGCTTCTACATCATGAGAAGACTCTCGTTCTTTCTGCACCAGCTTCCAGTGACAAACTGTACACGTAGAGGGAAATAGAATGTGCCGGTATATGTATAGAGCATACCATCAATTAACATAACATTAATGAAGATAAAATGAATGATCATAGTATTCGTCAACATACCATTAATGAGTACACCATTAATGAACATGCCATCAATGAAATACCACAAATGACAATACCATCAACATCTTTAGCTAGAAATGAAAATGCCATCAGTAAAGATACCATCCATGACATACAATAATTCAACATGTACAGTTGAACAGACCATCATTTTGTGGAGGTTCATGGAAGACCTTAAACATCAGGTAGTTGTTACGTCCCAGACACATGTACACATTATCCCGGTAGGTGGCGTTCTTCACAATCCAGTCCAGGCTGACCATCGATTGGTCGTGAAGGTGGAGAGCTGCGCCTAAAGCGACGAAAGAAATTGGGCATATACGTGGAAGCAAATATTACTACTTAATGGAATTTTTTTTAACCTATCGTAGTAAAGCGACATTACTTCCAACATAGAATAGAGATTTTAATAAATGTAAAAATGCATCTGCCCTTTAGCGAGAGCTTCGGTTGGAGTGGAGGATTTTTATGACCTGTTGGTCCAAAAGTTTGTGATATAAGGTCGAGAATGTAAAAGATGAGACGAAAATAGTGAAGATAAAAAAATACCCTTTCACAAAGGAATTCGCTTCAAGTTCATATTTGAATTGATTAGAGAGATATCCTCTTGGACTTGAAATATTACATCAAGGCATGGCGTTAGCGGGGCCAGTTTGCACTCTTTATGCCCCCCCACCAAATACCCCTCCCCGGCCCGACGCATCGGACCGCGGAGCGACACGTCGGGGATGCCCCCTCGTCAGGACGGCCCCCACCCGGGCCCTTCACCCAAATCCGCCGCCTGGGTGCCTGGGCGCTCGACCAGGGCCTCGCCTGGGGGTCGCCCCAACCAGTAGGCACGCGGTCGGTCCGACACTATGTGTTTAAATAGTGCACCCGATCGACTTTCTTAGGAGTTGGGATGGAAAATGTACGTCCTAATATCTTCCCCCACCCATCCCGGGAAAGCGTCGGAGCCCTATAAGAGGGATTCCACAGTGGGTTTCCACAACGCAACTAGCTCGCGCTGTAGCTTGGACGAAACGGTTGCCGAGGGACAGCTTTCTCAGGGCTGCGTTTTTTTAATTGTCGGCCAGAGGTTACCATCCTCGCCTCTGGCCTCATACCCGTCACCGGCAACTTGTAATCATGATCCCCACCCTGGCTCTGCCTAATTTTCCGGCTGTGAAGTATCACAGCCGCAGCCCTGTGGGAGCTGCTCTATGTACGGCAGGTACCGAGCACACTCTTTGTCTGCCCACGCGAGGCATCCCCGGTAGTTCTGTTCCCCGGCACACGCCGAGGGGGCTTCCTAATCGACAAGCCACAACAGACATGCCAACCGGAAACCGGGAACATGAAATAAAAACTCTTAACGATCTACTCTAATTGAAGTTAAAATTTTGGATGTTGGGCAACACGCCTTGGGCAACTAATTGTTAAGAGGAAAAACGGGGGGGGGGGGGAAGGAGTCAACCATTTAATTTTCTCCCGAAATTCCCCACTCCAGGAACGCCAAATAAAGACCCGAAGCGTAGTTGACCAATGAGGACCTGCGAGGGAGCAACTACGCGAATACAATTCTTATTGTATCATCACTTACCCTTGGGCAATTTTTGAATTAATTGAAACAAGGCTGTCTGGTCGATGAGTTTCTTTGACTGATAGAAGCTGGTTGATGGCACGAACACGGTACGGTTCTGGCGGCTTTCCTCTATCATCTGACGTTTTTCCTGTCACAAAAAATCCAAAAATTTCATCTTCTTTATTTACTCCCACAATTCTTACTGTTTGAACCAGTGAAATAATGGGGTTTGTGTGTTTGTGTTGGGTTTTTTGTTTGTTTGTTAAAATTGTCATTAATTATGGTGTGTTGTAGCCAGTACAGTTAACGAACTAAAATCGGTCTCTCCTCAGAAAAATATTATAAATGTGAATCAGAATTTTTTTTTAAATTATACAGTTTTTAAAGGGGCATAACTCTTTAATTTTTTTAATTATCAAAAATATAATATTTGGCGCTTTGCCAAGAAAAGTTTCCCGATCCCTGTCCTAAGCCATTCCTTGACCTGGTATCCTAACTGACATGAACTTAAACAAGCATTGATTGTTTTCATACCAGAATCCAGGGCCGTGTCGACCTATAAGGCGATCGGTCATCGGTCATATTCTCCCGACAACTTTACGGACCGGCCGCTTGCAAAAAATTAAAAGGTTTGTTCGTATATTTGTAAACTGGGGTTTTTTAACTTAAGATCAAACGGGGCGGTAAAATGCATTTGAAATTGTCAACTGCATGATGTTATGAAGGCCAGGGTGGTGGATTCTGGAGGTGAGTCTGTAGCTTTCCTTGTAACTAATGACTTAAAATTAGGCTGTGTTCTAGCACCAACATTTTTTAGCATGATATTCTCAGCAACGCTGAGTGATGTTTTTCTTGACAAATAATGGCGGAATGCCTAGACAATACAACGCGCCATTTAATCTTATGAGGCTGCAAGTCATTACGAAAGTTAAAGAAATGGCTATGAGAGACCTCTTCTTTGATGAGGACTGTGCCTTAAATGAAAACTCGGAACGAAAACGGGCACCAAATACTTGATCGATTTGCTAAGGCCTGATTCAACTACAGCCTCGCCATCAATACAAAACAAAACAAAAAAACAAAGAATAACCAGCTCCTGGACTAGCTTACAAAGAACCTAAGATATCAAAGAAGGGACAGAATCTCAAAGCAGTGGGAAAATTCACATATTTGGGAAGCACGCTCTCCAGGGAGGTAGCAGTAGATGATGAGATCAACAACCGAATTTACAAAGCAAATGTTGCACTCGGGGGGATCCGCAGTAGTGTCTGGAAGCGAAGGGGTCTCAGTCTTGTCACTAAGCTGTCAGTATATATACGGCAATCGTATAAACATCCCCCGATTAGCTAGCGAGACGTGGACAGTGTACGGCAGACATGCGAGGCAACTAAACCATCGCCACCTACTCTGTCTACGTAAATGTTTTGGTATAAAGTGGCAGAGAAAAAGGTTCCTGATACAGAGGTCTTACAACGGGCTGAATTTATCAACATACACACTCTCAGCTTGTGGGCAATTAAAAAAAAAGTTTCAAAGGACTGTCTCAAAACTTCACCTAATTACATGGAAAATTACCTTGATTCCTGGGCAGTGGCGTAGCGAGGGTGCTTGGCGCCCGGGGACAAGATTCGCGCCCGGGGACAAGATTCACGCCCGGGGACAAGATTCGCGCCCGGGGACAAGATTAGCGCCCCTTTTTATTTTTTTCAACCCTCAAACCCATTATTTACATCAATAAAATAATATCAAAGCAGATTTTGGCGCCCCTAACTAGCTGGCGCCCGGGTACATCTGTCCCCCCCCTGCTCCCACCACGCTACGCCTCTGTTCCTGGGAAACACTTGGTATGGATCGTACACGCTTGCGCGACAGACTCAATCCTGGAGCGCAATCCTCAGAGATTAAGTGCACCGCTCACGCCCAAAGAAAACGGACTACAAGGAAAAGCAGAGTCGACTCAAATCCAAATAGGACCAAAAACAACGTGTGCCCCAAGTGCGGGAAAGCTTTCTTTCCAGGCACAAATAGAACTGGCAAGCCACCTGCGTACTCACCTTAAAATATCGTCTTGGACAACTTTGCCTGCAAAGTGCGGACAACATCAAAAGTAATTTTAAGAATTAGTGTGCCTTATGCGGCTATATCATCATAGTGGAAAAGCGTATTTTTATTCAGATGATACATTTAGTTAAATTTACGTGTTACAATTATATACTGCCTCTTCCAATGTACCCGGTTACATGCGAACGAAGTTTCTCGATAATTAAATTGCTCAAAAGTCATTTGAGAGCAGCTTTATCCACAAAAAATAAAAATAGCTGCCGATTTATGATGACCAACTGTGAACCACATAACCACAAATTATTCAGAGGTGAAATTACTGATACACTGGCAAATTACAAACAGGTCAATGTAAATATCAGCAAGCGCATGTGATCAATTCTATGACATGATTATTTTTAAAAAACTCATTCACGTTTTTTTCCTACTTTATTCCCCTCATAATTTAAGAGACCGTACTTTTATTTTCGATATTAGAAAAACAAAATATAATCAAACAAGTTCATTTTAATTCACTTTGGTCTTAATTCGACTGCTTGAACAGGGTGTGTTCAAACATTAGGCATAACTATTTGACCCCGTGACGCGGCATGTTTTCCCATAAATATTTGACCCCTTGACCCGGGCATGTTAAAACATTCCCCATAAACATGTGACCCCGTGACCCAGATATGTTAAAACATTCCCCATACATATTTGACCCCGTGACTAAGGCGTGTGAAAACATCCCCCATGAAATGATCAACTATTCCGGACTCATCAAAATCGCCCGGACCGATTGGATACCTCGATCGGCCCCAAGCCAGAATCCGTTATCGAATTGCTTGAACTTCCAATCTCATCTTTTGACGCCATGAACGATTGCTGGAGTCAACCAGGTTGCTTTCAACAACAGTGATGTACCTTCATGAAGATGCCATTGACAATAAGTTCATCTGGAGACAGCGCAAGGTCTCCCCCAATCCTCATCTTCTCGTCCTGGCTGATCAGCTCGGACCTCATCTTTAAATAGTCATCTTTAGAAATGGGCATGGATAAACTATCTGACGCCATTAGGACCAAGACACCCAGGAGATGGCGGACTTTCCAGTTTGAGAAGGTCATTATGTTAAGATCTGAGGATTTTAAACAGCGTCATTTAAGTTTAATTCTTCTTTAGATTTAAAAAAAAAAATTAAAAATTTAATCTACAATTAAATCTTTAACTTAATCTTTGTGTCGTCACGAACCTAACCATACTTAATCTTTTGTTTCATCTTCGTCTACTTTTAAATGAGACAATATGTTGTTGTTTTTTTTAAAAATCAAAATAACGTGTAGTTAGGTTGTTTTTGTGTGGTTTTTTTAATGTGTTTTTTTTTTTTATGTTTTTTTTTTAAACTTTGTTCAGATTAAGCTTTTCAGAATGAAAACGTACAACGATAATTCACTTAGAAATACTGGATGACAGAAAAATAATGGTCAAGTGTACGTCTCTCGCTGAGTACAGCGCAACAACTAGATGAGTTTCAAATTTTAAGAATTAATTGTAGAAATTGATTCGTGTTTAGTAAAGACTGCCAAAGCTGCCCAACAACTTTAAATGAATAATATTGTTCGTTTTTTGTTGTTGTTGTTTTTTTTGTTTGTTTGTTTTTGGAAGGGGGGGGGGGTATCTACATGTGGGCGCGATAAAACCTTGTCATTACGCATGCGTGATCTCAGATAGTTCTAATGTAATACAAGAGGGAGGAGAATGGGAGATTGAGGGGGGAGGGGAACGGGGGACCATTTCTCCACCGCAATTTCGCCAATGATAAGTTAATCGCGAATTGTGTTTGTGGATTAAGAAGATAAGTCGTCAGTGTATCAGTGATCAGGTCATTCGTGCAAGAATACTTCCAGCGTTGAATTTTTCACTTAAAATTGCTGCTCTAGTTTAAAAGATAAACATTTTTAAAAAGCATAAATTTCATTCCAAAACCAACGTAGTCAAAGTAAGGGGCTTTTGCCTGCAGTGCTTGCGTTTGGAGGCTTTTGTTTGCAGCGCTTGTGTTTAGGGGGATTTTGGCTGCAGTGCTTGTGTTTGGAGGCTTTTGTTTGCAGCGCTTGTGTTTGGAGGCTTTTGTCTGCAGTGCTTGTGTTTAGGGGGATTTTGGCTGCAGTGCTTGTGTTTGGAGGCTTTTGTCTGCAGTGCTTGTGTTTGGAGGCTTTTTTCTGCAGTGCTTGTGTTTGGAGGCTTTTGTCTGCAGTGCTTGTGTTTAGGGGGCTTTTGTCTGCAGTGCTTGTGTTTGGAGGCTTTTATCTGTAGTGCTTGTGTTTGGAGGCTTTTGTCTGCAGTGCTTGTGTTTAGGGGGCTTTTGTCTGTAGTGCTTGTGTTTGGAGGCTTTTGTCTGTAGCGCTTGTGTTTAGGGGGCTTTTGTCTGCAGTGCTTGTGTTTAGGGGGCTTTTGTCTGTAGTGCTTGTGTTTGGGGGCTTTTTTCTGCAGTGCTTGTGTTTGGAGGCTTTTATCTGTAGTGCTTGTGTTTGGAGGTTTTGTCTGTAGCGCTTGTGTTTGGAGGCTTTTGTCTGTAGCGCTTGTGTTTAAAGGGATTTTTTCTGCAGATTAAGAGGTCTTTCATGGGTTGGCGGGGGGGGGGGGAGCTTCGTCGAGCCTCCGTTTTAAAGTAATAAAAATGACATTTAAAAAATAAAGCCTTAAGTCCATAGCCATATCAATGTATCCACTTAGGCGATTATGTGGAACTAGCAAACAACCTACGCACAAAAACAAACAAAAAAGAAAAATCTCACGCTACATGAATAGAAGTTCTTAGAACTTCAACATTTGTTACAAATTGAATCATTTTAAACACAGTTCTTCATCAACGTCGGCGAAATGGCAGTCGGCAAAATGGCAGTCGGTGAGATGACGTCGGTCAATTGGCGGTGGAAAAGTGGCGGCTGCAACTCGTCATAGATGAGAGAGAAGAGTGTGGGGGGGGGGGTATATTGAAATTGTATATGATTGTAAAAGACCTTGTGATTTTTTTTTCCTTTTGAAGATATTACGTGACATGTTTCTTAACAGATCATGTTATATGATCGAAATTTGCTCTGACAAATTTCAAACTATTATGAAAATTATGTAAAGAATGGAGCTAATGGTCAAGAAAACCAGAGCACATGGATGGGCCGCTTACCGTGTGAGTACCACTGTGAAGGAGAATACCTTATGCCTATCTACTGAGCGTATAGATCAGCGATCCTCAAACTTTTTAGACATGGTTCACTGTGGTGGTGGGAAGGGGGGGGGGGGGCGGCTGAGGACGCTAGACGTTCGCTCAAAGTTATTAGAGGGGTGTGGTCAAAGAAAGTTTGAGAAATACTGAGTGAAAAAGCATCTCAAATAAAAAAAAAAGTATTTTCACCTGACCCACCAACATACAGATTCCCATACTATTTTCACAGCCTAGCCCCCACTGTTCCTCACTTACTACCCATAGCTACTTTCCTAAATTTTAATAACAAATTATGACTTCTACTCCAGAACTCAGTGAATAGTGTTAATTTTAATTATCATGGCCTCAATGTGGTACCTACTAATTCAGCATCCATCTCCTTTTGTATAAGGTATGAGTGTAGTTTCTTAATTGCAGATACCGGTATGTACTTTAAAAAAAAAAAAAAAACGATAATCCTTTGTCCTTTCTCCCCCACAATACAATAGTGTTATAGATTGGGGCGATTGTCATATCTTCTCCCCTCCCACACTCCTGCCTATCCCCCTCAACTACAAATTATATCCATTTTTTTAAATTCCGTTCTTGTTTTTTTATCTTCAAAGACAAGTGGCATCATCATAGTCTAGCTATGACGTCACTGTCTGTGTGTTTGGTTTGTACCGTATTCCCCACAAGAAATACATGTATGAAAAGTAGGCCTATAATGAGCGCAGGCCCGTCTTTACAGCAGCGCAGGCCCTGGGCACAGTAATGCACTGAGGCCCCCCAGCCTTCTATATACTCAGGGCCGAGCGAAGGAGGAGATGAGAGGACATTGAAAGTTCTGCGTGGCTTTTATACATTGATCTCACAAACTTACAACAAAATAGTTTTGTCATGTCTATCATAGGCTGATTCTCGCCCCACTGCCCAGCTGTCCCCATGAATTTTTTGTTCGCCAAGTGTCCCGGTTATTGTCTAATCGTGTATATAACTGACAGTGAAATTAGAGGACCCGTTACAGAGACCATTTACATTATTACTCTGTTCATGGGGGTAAATAACATGGGAGAATATAGGAACAGTTAATCACTTTAAGCACGGGATGAAACATAAGGTAATGTAATGACATCGCCTAACACTGAACTCTCTTGTTGGTTGTTTCCCCCCACCCCCCAATGTAAATGCGGAAACTTAAAAATGTAACTGATTCCGTAATAATGTGACTACTTTTTTCGATTTGTAGATTTGTCTGTCAACCATTTTACTGTCTTGTTTGTGGCTCAGCTTTATGAGCCAAATGGTGTCATGACTCGTTGGCTTTTTTGTGCAAAGCAAATCTATCTTGAAAAATTTATTATTTGCATGTGTAAGTCACCGTTGCTTGTAACTGTCTTGAGCGTCTTTTAGTTTTATCTCTGGCTCTTCCCCAGTCGATTCTTCTGGCTCTGTCCCTATCTATTCTTATCACAAGCTGAGGCCTAATGCTTTCAACTAGGGGGTGAAACCATGTTCTGGCTGGCGCCTTTGCTTTCAACTACGAAATGGAAGATTGTTCTGTCTGGTGCCTTTTCTTTCAACTAGGAAATGGAAGATTGTTCTGTCTGGTGCCTTTGCTTTCAACTAGGAAATGGAAGACTGTTCTGTCTGGTGCCTTTGCTTTCAACTAGGAAATGGAAGACTTTATGTCTGGTGCCTCTGCTTTCGACTAGGAAATGGAAGATTGTTCTGTCTGGTGCCTTTGCTTTCGACTAAGGAGTCCGCTGAAACAAGTTCCAATTGAGAAGACGTTAAACAACAGCCTTCGCAGTTCACCCTTCGGAAATTGCAGCTGAAAACTCCACGAAAGGATCAGACTTTTGAGGAACACTGGGAGGTGCAGATTGAAAGCCACGCCTTTATCTCTCGATTTTTAGTTAGGATACATACATATATATATATATATATATTATATATATATAATGTAAATTTATTTTAGGCTTACATGAATTTTTTGTTGTACCGATGAAAATATTTTCCGAAACGTTTGCATTTGTATTCTATGTAACCATAAACTAAGCTTAACCTATATTGTTTTATTTCCTCAAATTGTTTGAGTTTCGTTAATCATCTCTTGAAAACTTCATCTGAGCTATTGGTCAATTTTGTAAGACATGCAATTTATTTCGGCATCTTTTTATAACAGTATCCAGGTTTCATTCGATTAAGACGGAGGTTCTTAAACTTCTTGCAGCTTTGAAACAACTCTTGATCTCAAAACATTTTCCGCACCCCCATCTCGATGACAATAAATGTATACCATCCGCATCTCCGCGATAAAAAAAAAATGAGATATTGACTCGATTTTAACAGGTTCTGAGGTAGAGGTCCTTTACTCCAAAACATTAGTTAAATAATTTTGGCTCTAACAGTAGTAACAAAAAAAAAATGTTTTTTTCCAGTCAATCATCAATCACAACCGTGCCTTTTTTTTTTTTTTGTTAAAGAAAAACATCAAAACCTGATTCAGTTATAAACGTGAAAATGTGATTGTTATATGTTGAGACTTCGCAATTGCGGGTAGAAAGTATCGCAAATCGCATATTTTCCCAGTAACACCGGTAACACCGGGTCATATCCGCTAGTATACAAATATTTAGTTCTGTAAGAGTATACTAGCATATCGATAGCCAAACTATCAATCTAGGATCTGTTACTTAATGTGTTACTCAATTTGTCACATTACATCCCATAGACCTGTGGGCAAGGGCCAATACTTTGTCCATATGCTTTCATCTCTACACTTACTTCGCGTTAGACTTTTGCATACATAATTAAACACGCAGCTGTTCAATAAAAAAAAAATTAATTGCTAGATTCAGCACACACAAAATATGTTAAGTGCCTATATAAAGTTAATAGTATTGTAATCAAACTATGACTAACATTTTAAAAAAACAAGCTTCAATATATATATATATATATATATATATATAAATTAATCTGCGACTTGGAGAAAAACATCTTTGAGGTAAATAAAAAATAGAATTAAATTGAAAGGTACGCAGATGTATGGGTAATTGTTAAAGTGGGAAGATATATTTACAATTTGCACGTGACTAATGAGACACGTCTGCCCAAGGCACAGAAAAATAAAATTTAAAAATGTTCTTACCGCGCGACCACTATGAGCCTTCTGCCAAGGTTGTCAGATGACACTGTCAGCGATGTCAGACGACACTGTCAGCGATGTCAGACGGTCAATGGTTGGCTTCAACGGTGTATCTTAAAATGTATTGTTTCCAGCACTATTTAACACACTGTTACACGGCTTACCGATCTTATGGTCCAGCTGCCCTACCACTAACATGTGTAGCACCTGTTACACCCACACCGTGCATTACAATGCTACAAAGATAACACAGTCAGGTCCGAATAAAAAAACAGTTTTAAGGGTCTGTTCCGCGAAATCCTTCCATTCGGATCGATCCACGGCTTTCCGCATGGGCGGTTCTCAGCCTGAGAGTCGCGACACCTTTAGGGGGGTCGAACGACCCTTTCAAAAGGGTCGCCGAAGTCCAATCGGAAAACACATACAGTCTACTCTTCAGTGAGGAAGTAGCAACGAAAATAATGTTGTGTTTGGGGTTTGCCACAACATGAAGAATTGTATTAAGGGTCTTGACCCATCTTATCTTTTAATCGGGATTTTAAAACTCAATTATATTTCTCGACAAGCATTCATACCTTTGACGTTCTCCCCTCTCCCCCCCCCCCCCATCCAAATGACCGCAATGTGTGCCTTAGTATTGAAATTGATACGATCTGGTCACTTTTACATGATATTTTCCAGTAGGTGTCCGTAATAAGCTGTTGAACACTAGTGGATCCCATATAAAAAAAACATAATTCCAACTTTACAGCTATGTTGATTAGCCTAACCGGCATAATGAAATAGGGGATAAAATAAACTAATGTACGCGCCAAAATGCATTCTACCCTTTTCAATTCATCAAATATTTTCTGGAGAGGGGCTTACTGAGAACTCTCTTCAAACCTTCCCCCTCAGTTTCGTTGGGGGCCCCTCGATCTCTTCTACCTTCCAGATCAAAGTGACAGTACCGACACATTTTAATCTTGACAGAAAGCGCTGGATGTAAATGGAAGTAAATGCAGTGAGTTTTTTTTTTTTTTTTTTAAAAGGGCAAAAATATTGTTTTTCTTTTTTTTAGCTGGATGTAAATGGAAGTAAATGCAGTGAGTTTTTTTTTTTTTTTAAACGGACCAAATTATGATTTTCCTTAGTTTGGTATACGTAGTTGGACTATCACGATTCCAGAGACGGAACTAAGTTTAAACTAATAGCATACCCTTAGGGGGGGGGGGGAGAGAATCCACAATCAGAATAAATGTATGGATATGTATGGCGGTGGTGATAAAGTCACAGCTGGACCTGGACATCAAAATTCCTAATTTTGATGCTGTTAGATGCGCTGCATCACCTCCTTCGAACGCCTGAAATACTAGCCCCCCACCCCCCACCCCACTCTCTCGCGAGAAAAATTACCTGAACTGGTCAAAACGCATAGTCTAACCTAGGCCAAAAGGCTTTTCATAGTAATACTTGAATAGTAGGCTATAGACAGCCGTTCCCAGGTAAAGCTGTGCCCAGGATGCACTAGTAAGACAATTTGACCGCTCCTGTCTATGTGAAGTACAAGGGATTTTTAACGTTTAATTCACAATCAATGGCGCATCTTTAAAATACGATTTTGCAGCCCCCTGAAATTGACGCCAAGGGTGATTGGTCCCCCCCCCTCATGATTAAGCTAGGTACACCGCCGCGGTGTACGCAGGCCAAAGTCAATAGTTTCGCTAGGTACACCGCCGCGGTGTACGTAGTGCCGGCCAAGTTTAAAAAAAAAAAAAAACTCTTCAGCTCGCCGAAAATGCCACCCCTCATTA